GTATAAAAAAAAATCTTTAATTAATTGTGTAACGATCTACAAACTCGGGGCACTCGGGACGTTCACCCCTGTTTAAAAAGCTAGCTTTATAATGTATAAATAAATGCATAGGGGCATCCATAATTTACGTTAAACCAGTACAGTATTGTATAAAAATAAAGACCTTGAAGATAACTCTATATAATAATATTTTTGTATTATCTTTTAAGATCCCTATAACAATACTGGTTTAACGTAAATTATGGACGTTCCCATAGGGTTTTTGTCTTGAGAACCACATTATACAGTAGAACATAGTGCTTTTCAAGACAAAAACCCACTAATATAAGAATTAATCATAAGGTAAATAAGCTTTAGCGAAAATTTTTTCGATAATCACGTGCCCACACATTTTTATTAGATACGTTGGGGAAGTTCCACTTTAGACATACAGAAACCATATATGTATATATAGTTAATTATTTATATTAAATTAACAAAATAAAAACTTGAATGATACGTACAGTAGTATAAAAATTTTAATATTTTAGACTTTAATATTTTTCTTTTAGACTAAACCATTTAAGGATTTAATATAGTAGTACATGTTATTTTCGAAACCTACACATCATCCTTATTCATATAAAATAGGTAAAAGCTTTTCCGCTCTTATCAATGCGGTATAGATTCAAGACGAAATAATACTCGAAACTTGCGCTTCAATACACGTGATTCACGTGAGTAAATAAAATATATTAGATTAATATGCATATTCAGTTGAAATTCAACACTGTTCAATGTATCTACATAAGTCAAACTAAAAACTTGTCATTAAATTGTTCAACTACGTGGATCAACTTTAAAGGGGTGAAAATCGACAACCAATTGGGTAAGTTTTGTCACCAGTTGTCACCTGTTCTTCCAGAAAGGTCTTCAATTTTTGCCAATTATTTCATCATAACGAAAAAAAAAATCTTAAACGCTCGCCAATATAAAGCCTTATAATTTCTTCCCAAGATTAAAAATCCAACAATCTCTCACTTTTCGTTACTCTATTAATTATAGTACTTAACCGCTCTGAATTCGAGAGCTTTAAGGAACATTTCAAGAGTATACTTTTATAACTATCAATTTATAATGGGAGCAGTGTTTTCTCGGCTTAGATCTAAAAAGGACGACGATTATGAAGTAATACTATCTGAACTTGATGAAAAAATTCGTCGAGCAGACATTAACCTTCGGGAGATCAGAATTCGAGAGCGTAATGCAGTAATAATTTGGATAGTATATTCACTGATAGCCTACGTCACCTATGTAGTAGGATATTGGTACTTTGTTTACATGTCCGTAGAAGAAGATGGTTGGGACTTAATGAAAGTGACACCTGTCTTAACAGGTCCTTTCTTTATAGTAATCGGATATAAATTTCTAGCTTTATGGTATAAACGAAAAGAAGCAAATGAAGAAACACAACTTGAACATCTTCGAGCCAAAAAGAAGCTTAAAGTTGAAGAAATGAAAAATAAAACAGGATACTACACTACTCAAAATTTACTGGAACGCTTTGATTCAAAAGTAGCAGCAAACCAACAAAATAGTCCTTTATCACCTGGACAAAAAGGACCCCTTGGACGACCAATTCAACCAATCAATCCAAATTTACGACAACGTTTACCAAATTCTCAAGCATCACCAGGATCTAATGAGGTAAATGGTGAATTAGAGAATAGACCGCCTTTACCGGGTGGGCACGATATAATACGTTCTGATGATCGGTCCGCAATAACTTCACCAGCACTTCTTCAACGACGCTGGTATGATAAATTATTGGACGTACTTGTTGGAGAAGAAGAACAGAAATATGCATTAGTTTGTAACAATTGTCATACTTGGCACGGGTTGGCACTTCCCACAGAATTTGATGATGTCCAATTTTATTGCAAAAATTGTAATACTTTCAATCCTTCTCGACGAAGTCAACGTGATGGTGACTTTAGTGCACCTCCTAATAACGTTAATGGGAATAATGTCAACAGTCGCATTGATCAGATAAACAAAACAACACAACTAATTGACTCAGATCCAAAACGAGGTCGATCGACAACACCAAAACCCATGAGTCGAAATTCATCATTTGATTCAGAAAAACCCAATGATAAAGATAAAGGTGATGATTATGATGATGATGGAGTAGCAGTTAGTAAACGATTGGCATCTAGATCAACAAGCAGAAAACGAAGAAGTAGTCGAAGTCAGAATAGAATCGAAAGTCATCATGATAGCGACGATCAAAGTTGTTAACTTGAATTTGGAATCTCAGGTTGAATCGATATTCTAGTGGGCCTTACGAAAAATTTTATTAGGAGAACAGGAATAGTGGGGATTAATATAATAAACAATCAAAATGCATATATATAGTAGTTAATATTAACCAAACAAAAATAAGTATACATACAATATTAGATTTATCCAGCAATCTATGGTGACGGCCTCGTACATTAGAATAAAGTCATACATATGTATATCGATATGAATTTATAAGATTTTAAGGTCACCAATAAAAAAATTTCATACTGCTTGCGATTTTGCGTTTCCAAACTGCGATTCATAAAAAAATATATATATATATACGACATTTACACGTATACTTGTCAAGAACTTTTAAATTTACAATAATTTGTTTTCATTTTTAATAATCTTGATTAGAATGATCGATAACTGGTAACAATGTCGAAGCTAAAAAGTAAAGTTGGAGAACCGAAACCCAAACCTTCCTAAGCCTTTTTAGATTATAGGTTATAGTATAAACTAGTTTTGAATTGATATTTTCTACCTAAACCCCTAACGGCTAAACTAAAAATCCCAAACCAATATCGAAATCCCAAACCAATACCAAAATCCCATATTAC